GCCCCCGCAGCAGACGCTGACGAACCCCGGCTCCTCGACAGGTGGGCTCCCCAACAGGTCAATCGATACCACACCAGCATCACTTTCCGGCGACGGTCTCGCTTCCTGGGCGATCGACTGCGCCGCTGAGCTCGTTGGAGCTGAACTCGTAAATAAAGATGTCGTGGATGAGGAGGAGGAGGAAGAAGTGAGCACCAGAGACTCCCCCAAACGGTCATGTTTCCGTAGTAGTCGTCTCACAAGGCGGCTCGGGGACATCGGCATCTTATGCGTTGCAGTCGTAGTCATCGTAGCCTCCATCCCACCAAGACGTTTCCTAATCCGTTCAAGCACTCTCTCAGCCCCACCCGCGTCCTCTTCTTCTTCCTCTACCACTGTATCAACAGAATCAAATACAATACCAAGACCCTTGCGTCGAGTCCTCCAACGCTCTAGTATATCACCATCATCATCTACCCCTCCAACGCTCTGCCCATCATCATGAGCTTCCCTCAACCGCTGCACCAATGACGATATGTCGCTACTTTCTCCAACACCCTCCACCTCCTTCGGTGGCGACACACTCCTATCAATAAACGCTTGTTCAGCATGGCGCTCCTCAGGCATCATGATATGCTCTACTCTATGCTCCACCATACTCCCACGCAATGCACTCCAAAAACGTTCTGTCGGGTCCTTTACCGTCGCCGCCTTAGTCTCCTTCGTAAACCGTGGTGACGTGTTCCCCGGGGGAGTCCTCGAACGAGCGCGCACGCCCTGCCCACACACAGTCAGCTTCACATCATGGGACTGGTCAGTCACTCCTCGACGCCCAACACCATACTTCTTCTCAACAGATTGCCTCAGCTGATTCGCTCTGTCAAGACTCTCACGCAACGATTGCCGACGACGATCTCGATTATTCTGAGAGTAATACACCGTTGAGCTCGGGAGTGTATGTTCCACATCCCTCAGCTGGCTCAAGTTCACAAAGGGTAGAAGTGGCTCAAGTGGCTCGAAAGTTTCCTCACTTATTATACAAGTTCACATACGAATCCGGGTAAAGGCCAATGATGACTTCCCAAAATTTCCTCAGAATCTATATATTCATATGTAGTTGACCATATGCACATTTTCTCACACTGCGTTCTTTTCTCACCTTTCGTATCGCCCCTGTTTTTGTTGCCGTGATAGTAGTGGCCATTGATAGTAGACGGACGATACTCCGCGAGAGATAATCCAATGATTGATATTGAATTAAATGCACTCATAAGCTCGGCTTAGGGATGCTTGATTTGCCTAGCCGAGGTAAGATAGAGTTCACAAACGATTTCGGTTAGCAGTGTACAGGAACCAGGAACTTTTTCCCAAAATTTCGTCAAAATTTTCATATTCTCTTTGACACATGTAGTTAACCATGTACATATTTTCCCACACTGCCTCTACCAACCATCACTCCCTTACATTAACGTACTCAATTCAAGCAAATACTTCGACATCGGGGCTACATCATTTGACATTTATTCAATCACACTATCATGCAGTAACTGGAGCATCATCGACGACTTCAGCTATCAGCTTCTCAAACTTGACCAAACCCTCATCGACACTATCCTCTGGTCGTGGTCCGGGGTCTCGATACACCAACTGGTCCTGGCCACAACAACACACACAGCGTGTAGGGAAATATGCACATGGCCAACTACTTATGACTACTTTCGAGAAATTTACGCGGATTTTTCACACTTGCAAGTTGTATGAGATTTATCATAACACAGTGTTGGAAGCTGCTGAGTTCAGCTGAGTAAACCGGACATATACTCCAAATTGAAATAGGTCCGTTTCACTCAGCTATTCTTTCTCCAATACTCAACACGTGCTCAATAACACACACGATTCGTTAAGCATATAACAAAAAACTACAATCCCCTGAACGAGATTACTCTCATTCCAAATCGATACTAAGTGATCCCTACCTCATGCCCAGCCGGACAAAGAGTAACCGTTTCAAAATCAGCGATCTTCTTATAGTCAACCACAAATCTAATGTCATCCGGCTCAAGCTCCCTTGCTGCTTCGAAGTCCTCAGCCGCCTCGTCAAACATCTTCAAGGCCTTGAAGCTGAATGCCCTTCTAAACAACGCTCGAGAGTTCAGTGGTTGCCACCGTAGAACCTAACGACCATTCGACGCGAAATGGTCCTATTTTTCCGTTGCTATCGAGACACTTCCGCCATTGAGAAAATATAAGTTTGCAATACTTACTATACAGTAAGGCCATCTTCATGGACATTCAGCAATGTTGGAGGAATATATCTTCGCTTTCCTCACTAACTATGGAAGTTTACATACAAATTCGAGTAGAAGTGTACAAAAACATTGAGAATTTTCCAGAATTTCACACATGTAGTTGACAATGTGCATATTTCCCCGCACTGTCACTCTACCCATCAGATGTGTGTCCTATTCTACCCAACCACTAAAG